TTATGTAAATAGCAGTTCAACAACTATCAATTAAGAACAAACACGAAAAGCCACCACACCACAGAGTGCTGCAAAAAGGATAGAGAGAGAAAGAGGACTCAGAAGAGAGAAAGAGATGGGTTTCGTGGGGGTGATTTATTCGTTTACAGATAATGGAGGATATGTATTCAATATATATATGTGTGTGTGTGTGTATGTGTTTATATAATTCCTATACAATTCCTATAATTATAGTAATTATAGTAATTATAGTAATTATATTTATATAATTAATTATAGTAATTTTATATAATTAATTATAGTAATTATATATATATATTATAATTATATATATAATTACTATAATTATATTTAAATAAAAATTAATATAATATCAAGGGCATTCTTGTCATTTCACAAACACTTAACGGTTTTGTAACAAAACGGGAGCAATATGATAGTTTATGTTAGTTCAGGGAATTTTTTTAATAATTGAGAGTGTTATATGTAATTTTTGTAAATAAAAGAGGTTTTTGTGTTTTTAGCACAAAAACAAAAAAATAATAATAATAGGTAAAGTACAGGATACCCTCTCAAGTTTGTCTAAAGGACAATCATATACAAGTTCAGTCATTTTGGTACAAAGACACCTCCTTGTCAAAAAATGAATCCAAACATGTCCTTAAGAAAAGTCAATATTACCCTACAATAATTTTATTAATTTAAACTATAAAATATTATAACTTTTAAATGATATTTTTGCCCTTACTATATCACCCCTCACTTCTGTACCGGCTAAACCCAACACAACCTGTTAACCACATCATCGCAAACCCAAACCCGGCTGAACAAACCTTCTCAATTACACCGAACGAAACAAACCCTTCACCAAACCTCAAACGACCCCCACCGGCGAACCACCGCCACACCTCAACCCCCATCACCGGCGAGATCTGAACCTTCGCCGACGACCGAGTTGGCATCACCCCTCCCCCTCTCTACGCACTTCATCTCTCTATAGCCCATCTTCAACTACCCTATCTTCTCCAATCAGAAAACCCAATCAAGACGTAAAAAAACCCACATAGCATCAAAGCCATAGAAATCCCCACACAGTGACAATGTGAAACCCCTTCGAAGCCTTACAATTTGTAGTCGCCGAAAGGACGTCGCCGGTCTGTGTGGGTTACTCTGATAGAAAGTTGTTATCCTCTACCTCACCCCTCTCTCTCCCCTTCACGAATAATTACAAAGGATAGATCAGATTATTACTCCGAGATGTTCCGATTGGCCGACGACGACCTCAAACACAACACCAACAGGTCCACTGCTTTGAGCTCCAATTGGCCGACGGTGGAATCGCTGGGTGCCTTCATCTCTCTTCTTCATTGCCTATTCTACCGGCGAGATCGTGGTGGTCGTCGAGTCCGACAAGAACGTCGAGACCTTTTGCGGCTACTTGGAAGCACCGAAGAGGAGCTGTAGAGTGTTCAAGCACCACCATGACGATGGGTTCAAGCACCACCACAGGAGAATGATGATGATCAGGCGGCGGTGGCTGAGGGGTGATGAAGATGTAGTGTGTATATATATATACACACATACAGAGAGAAAAGGGGATAGGGTTCTTACACAGGCGGGTTCGGGTTTAATCAAGGGTATTTAAGTTAATTAAAATGTTAATTTTATGATAATAAGGTCAGTTTATCATCTTCAGGCTCATTTAGTCCATTTTTCAAATTTAAAAGGGTATCATTAATTCATTATCTAAAAATAGACTAACTTCCTTCCATCTGCATGACTTTTCCCTAAACCTCAGGTGTCCTGTACTTTACCCAAAATAATAATAAGTTAGGCGAGTCTTGGTCGGCTTGGACCTCAAATCTTAGAGGGCCTCAAAATTTAAGTTAGGGCAAGTTTTTCAGACGACACAATCTGCTTCGACACTCCGCCTCTGCTATCGCCTCAGGCTCAGGTGACACCGTGACAAGGTATGTTCATCCTCTCTCTTCTCTTCTCTCTCCTTTTGCATGAATCGATCTTTTTTGTTTCCTCTCCGTAAGTCCACTCCAGTCTCGCAACAGCAGCAACCATACCCCTTTCGTAATTTTTTGCATTTTCACATTCAATCCTACGAAAATTAAGGATCCCTTCTGGTGGGTTGAGGACCTGAGGTAATAATTAACTTTTTCGATCTCTAAATTATGGTCATAATTAAAAGTGCCAAATTAATTTTTTTTTTTTTTAATTTTTAATTTTATTTTTATATGAAGCTAGATACCACCATTATTGATGTTATTTGAAGTTGGCTCAGCTAGAATTTCAGTTAATAATACTGTCAACGGCTCAAAGCACTTGCCATCAGGATGTACAAACACATGGAAATCAAGAGCAGGCTTTAACAAAACAAAAGTTAATGGTTTTTTTTTTCTATTAATGGTTCATTCGACCAAACTGCTTGATTTTAGATTTTTTTAATATTATATTTATTGTATGAACAGCAATGCTTTCCGTTTGATTTTCCATCCGTTTTATGTTAATTGTGATCTTCTTTCACATGCTAGCAGAACATTTACTTTGATATAAAGTTGAATTTTGATTTTTGTGACCAAGTTGTGTTGAATATTTCCTTTTAATTTTTTTGATGTAAACTGGATCGTGCTCTTTTTAAAGCACCAAGACCGGATTTTCTTTTGTGTGTTTTCAACATTAATATATTTTATGTTCCTATCATCTCATATTAATGAAAATTCCGCATTCTTATAAATTTTTTGTGCCATAGATTTATTGTTATTAGTTACCTGTCTTATGCACATTGCATAGGCGCAAAATTATTTATTGGTGGCGATAGATTTATAGTTATTAGTTAGTTGTCTTATGCAAACTGCATAGGTGCACAGTTATTTATTGGTGGTGATAAAAATTTATAGTTATTAGTTAGTTGTCTTAAGCACATTGCACAGACACACAATTATTAATTGGTGGTGATAGATTTATAGTAATTAGTTAGTTGTCTTATGTACACAGTACAGCCGCACAATTATTTGTTGGTGGTGATAAATTTATAGTTATTAGTTAGTTGTCTTATGCACAATGCATAGGCGCACAATTATATTAGATATAGAATTTGAAAACATTGTGTGAAATTTCCACACTCTTACAATTTTTTTTGCGCGTGTGAAACTTAAGGGCCTCACAATTGAAAGTTCGGCTAGGGCTTCTCAAAATATTTGAAATCTCAGGGCTGGCCCTGCCCCCATGCATTCTTTGACATTTTAATGGCAGCAGAATGCAATAAATACTGGCTGAATTTGCTCATTTTGCTATAGATTGGTTTCCAAAGTGTGCTTCAGTTCAGCTACCAGGATAGTGCGTTGCTCTTTATAAACAGGTGAGCCATTCTAATGTCATTTTCTGTCCCCCTTTTTGCTTTGAAAGTCCTATTTTACTTCCTTATTTTATTTATTTATATTAATTAATTAATTAATTAATTTTTATTTTTATTTTTTATTGTTTGCCTATCATCAGTGTTTGTCAATCTTTGATGCTCAAGTCAATGTTAAGAACACCTCTTGCCTTTAAGATGGAACCATCCCTCTTGTTCCTCCCAACCTAGAATGGCGTAGGGCACCCTATTTGGAGGATCATGATATGTTTTGAAACTGTATTGAACACTATTGTTTTGATCCTGATGTGGTAGAGAACTCTCTTCTAATGGGTCCTGAAGAAAAGTCGGACATTGTTAAAGTTGTTCCGGGCTCCATTCCTCGTCTACTAATCGAGCGGGGTGATTGTCCATTCTCTTTTTTTGACCATGAAAGCCATGTGGTTGCCAGTGTGGATTGGAAACTCTGGTGTTAACACAGTTTAAGCAAAGGTCATCATTTCGCAACTCTAGGAAAGGCAGAAATTTTGCAAGCTATACAACTATTCTCTATTTTATCTATTAAACAAGATCTAGTAAGTTTGAATGTACTATTTTCTCGCTGGTCTTCTGTACATCATACTTTCTTGACACCTGGGGAGAATTTTCACCGGCAATAGAAGACGTGGCAGTACTATATCGACTTCCAATTTTTGGCCCTCAACCCCTTGCGACCTTGGGTAGCTCTAAAGACGATCAAGATATTACTGGTTACTTAGAAAAATGTGCGAAGGAAGCAATGAAGTAGGGACACTTGTTTAAGGGCTCAAACCGTCTAAAAAACAATCAAAAGTTGCGAAACCAAAATTGACTTACGCCTGTTGGCTTCGCTATTTTTTTAAGGATTTTGAGAACGTGCAGAGAGAAACTCACACCAGTGGTCGTTCCCGACAGAGTGTGTGTGGACCAGAGTATAACAAACGATATGAACTGGCAGGATTTCTTGCTTACTGGTTGGATAGGTACATTTTTGAGGGACGTCCGGAGGATGGGTTAACACGCGAGGTTTTTCCCTTAGCCGCAGTACTATCTCGTGGTATTTTGCTGCCATTGGCTCCAATGTTTCTTGGTACTCTGTATCGTCGTCTTGATACTATTGTATCAGATTGTATTCGCTCAGTCGGTCGATATGATATCTGTACATTTGTGTCTTTTATGTTTTTGTCGGTCTTTTTGTTTGAGAGATTTCCCAATTATGGGCCTCGCCCTTTAGAATTTGAAGATACGGATGACGATGGTAATCCTATTGACAATGGGCAAGCGTTGCGATGGATGAATCTGGGTTCGAAGGATAAAAACATTGGTGATTTCATTGACCAAGAAAATGAATTCATTTTTCGACCTTGTACTACTGCGCGAGAGGGAATATCGAGACCTCCTTTTTACTTCGAAGGATATCAAGTACTAGCAAGGGATGAACAACCAACTACTATACGACTTATGTTTGCTGCTATCATATCTGGGTTGCCATTGCCAGTATTTGATGATCTGCTAATGCGAGTGACCTCTTATAGCCCTATGCGAGTTGCACGTCAATTCGGATTTGATCAAGGTATTCCTCATAGTCCCATTAAGTACTGAGGATGAGACTTTCGGTAATGCAGTGAACCGCTTTAAGAAGGATAGAGAATTGGAATATCGTTCTTTTTTTGGTATTTTGAGATCCCTTCAATGAGTCGGGAGGGAAAACTTCATCCTATATGGGTTTTTTGGAAGAGACCCACATACGGGTTAAAGAATTTGTGCCAAGTGATCTTGTTATTTGTACCGAAGTAATAGTGCATAATAATGATACTAGTCTGAAGTGTCCTGTACCCCGTGGTGTGCGTGGGAAGCGTTGTCGTTTTGCTAAAAGCGATGTCCCATGTAGTCGCAAACGGGCTGTTCATTTTGACAATATGGAGGAGCAAGAATTTGGAAGTTCTGCAAGTGATAATGAGCCTATTGCACGAAGAGGACTAAGGGTAATAATATATACATACATATATATATATATATGGAGGGTGAAGTGCAGAAAACACCCCTATACTATGCTTACAGTGCATATTACACCCCTCACGTGCACAAAACACCCTCAAAGTATTGATTTGGTACAAATAAGTCCCCCTGGCACATTTAAGTTAGAATTTGCCTAAATTGCCCTTTATGAGACATTTTATAAATTATTTTAAAATACATTATTTTATAAAATTACAGAAAAGGACACAAATGACTACTCCATTAGCCCACGTGACAGCAACCTGAGTTTTTTTTTAATTTTTTACTGGGGCCTTCTCTCTCCCCTTTCTTGCTCTCTCTAATTGATGGTGACTGAAGGAAGCTCTAATGACGACAAATACGACGGCCAGATAATACGATGGCCAGTGAATACTCCGGCAACAGCAATGAGACAGTGAAGAAGGGGACAACAGTGCTGAAGATGGCAAGATCTGAATATGGACAAGCTGAATGGGGCGAGGAATGCTTGATTGTCTTATCACAACTTGGTATTTGAAGAGTTTGGTAGAGTGAAAAATGATCTTTGAGGAAGATTTTGTTCCCTATGGCAATGTATTGGACTTGATCGGCGACGACGTATGAAAAATGTTAGATTGAAGCCATTGTAGTGAGGTGCTCACAGTGGGAATCGAATCGGGATTGGTCAAAGACAATCTGGGTCAGTTCGTTGGTGAGTTGAGAATTGCGTTCGATATCGAGTTTGTCTTGATTTGGACCTTTGAATTCTTATCGTTCAAAGTAATCGGACTCATGGATGGTGAGAAAACAATCTTTATTTTTTCTCCGACGATCCAATCAACTGTTGGCGCCGGAATTTTGACTAATCTCCAGCGAATTTCACCATACGTGGTGGTGTACGAGGACAACGAAGGATTAATAGATGGTGGGATGTTATCGTTCCATAAATGAGTCATAAATAGGCTTGAGTTGTGTTGGGAGTCTCTTAATGGCGGCGGCGGCGGCGATCTAGTTAGAAGGATTGAGACGTTTCTGCTGCGTCCGAAGAATTTCTCGGCGTGGAGATGGCTGTGAGAAGTAATGCGACGCCGTGGAGGGAGGTGTTTGTCGGCCCGAGAATGAGGCCAGTGGTGTTGGGTCAGTTTTCGGCGACTGTGGTCGCTGGACCTTGATGTGCAAGAGGGAGGGCTGTCTGGTTCGCAAAACATATCCGATCTCATGTGGTGAGCCCACTTTGATCTGGGTCTGACCCAGATTGAAACGGGCCAACCTATCAAGATAAAAAAATATACACAACTTTTTTGGGTATTTTTGGAAAATTAAAAGGGCAAAATGGGCATTACAACATAATTTTAGGTCAGATTATATTTGAGGGGTGTTTTTGCACAATGTTAAAAGATTAAGGGTGTTATTTGCACACTTTTTTAAATAGGGGGTAAAAGTGCTACCAAAAGTATACATTAGGGGTGTTTTCTGCACTTTACCCTATATATGTATGTATATTGTAAAAGTATGCTCTTCTGATAGAATGAATATTTCATTTACTTTTTCCAGGTGCGGGCAAAAACAGTTAAGTATGCAGAAATTTCAGTTAGTGCGGAGGAGGAATCTCTGAGGAAAGGGTCCATACCCATGTTTCTTTCTATTGAAGCAACACCTGGTATTTGGACGGACAAAGCTGTTGATGAAGAGAGAACTGTTATGGAAGTCACAGAAACAGAGGCCCATGGAGTGTCTCAACAAAATCATGTTGAAAGAGAAACAGAGGTATTTGAGATGGAAAGAACAACGGATGCAGCTGATGCAGTATCAGTCTTGTTAACATTGCAATCATCGACTCATCACGAAAAAGAAATTACTCCTTATGCAAAAGAGGTTAGAGAACAAGAAAAAGGCTCACTTGAAAATATTGATGAAAATGTAAGGATTGAATATGTGGCACCGATTGATGGCGAAACCTTTAATACTCAAGATCAAGATGTAGCTCGTGACTTTGCATTGAATTTTTCCCAAGACAATGGTTCAAATCTGATTGGTGAAATTGGGTTTAGCAATCAGGATTCAGAAACAAGGCCAATGATATATGAATTTACTGTTGGTGGTGATGTAGCTACAGAATATCAAGCAGATGCTCCTAGACATAATCTTCAAATTTCCGGTGGACCATTATGTCACCTAGAAAATTTAGGGGATATGCTTCCATCATCGCATGAACCAACGGAGACTTTGCCAGCGATATCAATTGTTGACATTTCAAGTAAAGTAAGGCAGGTAGAATCGGTGCGGGTACAGGTTGAAGAGGCGAGCATTATCCATGTGCAAACTCTTAGTGACAGTTCACATGATATTGAAACATTCTTGAATCCTATTACCTGTAATCCTGGGGATACTGTGAAGTGGCAATCTTTTTTCTGCAGCTTTCGCAATGTACAAATGTTGTCACGTATCCTTCAACGTCACCCCCAGACCTTTGTAAACTTCCATGTACAAGATCCAGAATTCCAGCGTGTGTTGCTAGATGCATTGGCAGACTTCCTAACTGCGCTGGACGGGAAAATTCTTGCTGATATTCATGAGAGCATTGTCAATAAAGTTAGAGGCCGAGTAGTAGACTGGCGGGGCATGGGTCTAGAGGTATCATGGTTGGAGAATCGTCTTGCCGATGTTCTATCCTATTCAGAGGTCAGAAAAATGGAGAATTCATATGCGCAACTTGTGGCTAGACAGGAGTATGTTGATGGTGAGGTGAAAAAGACACAAGTGTACCGGTCTGATTTAGAAAAAGAAAACACCCAATTGAAGGAAAAAATAGCTAAAATTTCCTCTGATTTGGTGCAAAGGAAGGGTGATCTATCTGTGCTCGCGTCAGACCCATTTTTCAAAACTATTCTATAAATTGAACATTGTATCATTAATTTAAATGACTGTAGTACTTGAATCATTTTGTAAACTTTGCTTTTTGTGGTCCTTCCTTTGGAAACATATTTGCTGAATTTTATTCCATATGAAATTATGCACAGGTTGGCCTAATGTACTCCTAGGATTGATGTGTGTATTTCACTTTATGTTTGTTTTGCCACAATCTATTTTGCTGCTTCAACAAATTTCCCTGCTTTACCAGCACCATTGCATCCCTTGTTTGCTTAACCTCAAACTCCAAGGGGTGGTGAAATGTCGAAGCACCTTAGCAGTAATTAAACCTAGCAATTTTCTGTCTGTGGAAAGGGCAAAGGAAGGTAGCATTTGTTGATACTTCTGGCCTATATATTTGTTCAAGTTTTTAGGAACTGCAGCAATTTCAACTTATTTAACTTTGGATTCTGCAAAAATGATAATTCTTTTGATTTCTTATGGAATGCTCATCTTTTTGGGTATGGATTCAGGTTACATAATGTGTTTCCTTTAATTATGAAAAAAAAAAAGTGTTTCCTTTACAATTTTTCCCTTTCTGTAGTATGGTAGTATGCTCTATTGCTGACATGTTATGTAGATTCATTGCTTTGTTTAGCTTTGCATCTGAAATCTTTATATACAAACTTTTGCTTTCTATAATTTTGTATAGACTTGTGTGGCAAAACAATCATTAATTCATTCTTCTTTTTTGTGACCAGCATTAACGCTGTTCATCATAGGTTGTCTGATTTCAGTATCTGATTTTTTTATTGGTAGCAATTTTACGGTTTTGATTGCTGCGCGCTTAATTGCCAATTGCTTTGGCACCATCACTTTGATGTCAATGGGGTTCTTTCTATCTGAAATGTAGTGCCACTTCTTTTATGTATGTTTACAGTTCTAAATTTCTAATATACCTCAATGGCCTACATATCCCACAACCTCTTGTAATCCTAGCTGCATGGGAAAATTAACAAGAAATGGAGTACTTTTTTCAAGTAAATTTTTGATAATTTATAACCAATGGAAGAATGGTCCTAGATTGTGCAGAATTGGTGAAATTAAAATGTCTTTAACTGATTGTTGAGTTGAAAAGTGTTTAAATATTGTTTCTACTCAATCTAGAGTGATTTGCCTCCCTACCCTGAAATCAACAATTTCTGGGCAGGGTATGGCTTCAAGGAACCTCAATTATAATGCTTGGTCTCATATATATGATGACAAATTGAAAGTGGAAGAACCACAAGCTTCTTTGTTTATACAAATATTATCATGTCACTTTACTTGGAAATTTTTTATTTTTTTTGTATTTTAGTCCATTTATGATTTATGTATTGTCTCTTGACTCTCCTGGACATGCATGGTGATTATTGAAAGTTAAGGGAAGGCTTGTTTTCATTAAATTTTGTTGTTTGCTGAAGCCATGTTCAAATTATAACACTGCCAATTGCTTTGGCACCTTCATTTTGATCAGCATATATAATTAGTTGAGCAGCATATATTGATCAGCAATTGACAATTTTATGTAGTTGTCTCTCCCTAATTTTCATTTTGGACACCTTTCTTATACTTAAGTAGTTGTTGTTACACTCGAATGTGCAACCTCCTGTAGCCCCTGCATGAAGAATTAACAAGAAATAGTAATTTCTTTCAATTAAATTTTTTGTTATTAATAACCAATGGTAGAATGGTTCTAGATTATGCAGAAAATGGTGAAATTAGGATGTTTGTAGTAGTAGTAGTAGTTTGTTGAGTTGAAAAGTGTTGAATTAATTGTTGTTTCTGCAAGATGGATTTCAGGTAGAACCAAATCCACATTGTAAAGTCTTTCAAACAATGTAAATTGACATCGAGGCTTAAATTCTAACCAACATTCTTCTACCTGCAGAGATTCTTATGGGGTTGGGTTCTAAGGCCATGAAGGAAGAATATAGTGAGTATTTGCTTTTGCTTTAATTTGATGGTGTAGATTTTTACCTGGGTTATTTTAGTGTTGAGATGGAAATTTGGAATGGTACTGTTGGTGTTTTTGGTATAGATCATATTATTATCTGTGTCATTAATTCTCTATGAATAGAAATATAGAAAAATTTAAACTTGCCATTTTTGTTATGTAGACCTTCCTTTCCTCTTTCTCTGTTTTTCTGAGCATATGAAAAGTTTTGGATGTTCAAAGATTTCCAGTGTGTTTGTAGATGTGATTTAATTTCTTGATTTTCGTGATGTGCTTAATTTTAAAAAAATTCTCATGTTTCTATGTAGGTGAACCTGTAGTGAAAACCAATGAAGCTGCAGTGAAAGCCAATGAAGCTGCAGTGAAAACCAGTGAAGTTGCAGTGAAAGTTGATGAAACTGCTGAGATCTGAATAGAAGAGGACGATGAGTACTTAATACTAATTGTTTTAGTTTTACAGTTTCTGATGCATGCTAGCTCCAAATTGTTATATGGTTTAATTATGCCCTTAATTTAGTGAATGATGGAAATTTTTAGGTACCAGACCTGGAGCTGTTTTGAATAAACACACCAATCACTCTTCTGCCAGAGATTAGCGCTATTGTTTTTTCAGTATCCATTCTTTTGAAATTTTTAATTTTCTCACTGTTCTGATTTTTATATATGCTGTTCTTTTTGGAAGGGCATTTTTCTGAATTTGACTTTTTTTTTCAATAAGATGCTGTATCTTGATATATTGTTAAATCTTGAACTCCATGATTTTTCAATGATATGGGTTCATAAAATGTAATCCTCAAGTGGTTACCATTATTTTCAAACTTCTAATTGCTGACTTGAGTCTAAAAAAGGGTGCTAACATTGTTAAAGATGAATAAAAACTACAAAACTGCTAATTGCTGACTGGAGCCTAAATAAGGGTGGGTGCTAATAACATTGTTCTAGATGAATAAAATCTACAAAACTGCTAATTGCTGACTATGGCTATGGGAGAAGAGAATAGAGATGTAAGTATAGTTCATGGGTTGTTTGCTAAACGAGATAGAATTGGAGAGTTTATATAGAGTTGTTCTGTTTCATGTTTATTATGTTTTCTATTATAAGGCACTACAACAAAATACCCCTACAGTGACAATTTTAACAGCAATTGTTAAAAATTGCCGCCATAAACAATAATTTTTAAAGACCTCAGGTGACTGCCTTGCACATTTTTATTTTATCATTTTTTTTGTCCTTCCACTCCTCACATTCCTTTTTCCATATACTTTTTTATTTTGCTCCCCCCGTGTTTTTTCGGGTAAGTAAAACAGAAATGAGAGAGCAACCATTCACGAAATTGCGAATAGAAAATTTAGTTTAATGCACAGTTAATTTTGATGTGATTCTGTTTAATCAGCTAATTAATGCCTTCACAACTAGTTCATAATTTAATTCATACATGTTCAATTATTGGGAAATTATGAAGCCAAAGCGTTTTGATTTCAGTGTTAGTTTCCTTTTCATTACGTAATTGCAGTTTCAGTGAAATTTGGGAGACTTTCAGTTGGATCAGCGAAACCGTCGAGGAATGGGATAGATGATCTATTGTCATCAACTCACGGAGGAAAGCACGACTACGATTGGTAAATTGTGAATATTTTCCTTCATTGATTTGATTTGTATGTACATTATTCAACTTCAGATCTAGCCTCTTTATATAGTGGTGTTAGGTGGAAAACTTTTTTTTTTGTTTCCTTCAACAGATCATGAATTCTTTTGATTTGAAAATGCTTCTGTGAGGCTCTGCATTTTGTATGTTAGAGAGGACATAGATACCTTTATCTAGAAGGAGGGTGCATTATGAATCTATCAAGTATGAGAAAGAACGAAATGCTGGATTTCTGACTCCATTTGGCTATTCAGCAGCCACTGTTGCTGCAGCAGCTGATACTATTTGCTCAATGGAGGTATATAGAACTGTAGCTCCTCATGTTGGTGGTGCACAAGTGTTTTTTGTGTGTGTAAACGGAGGGTGTACCTATCCCTTCGGGGGCAGAAAATTTCCTTCAAATACCCAAAACCATCTCCAAAACACAGGTTTCAAGACAGCCCGGCATGAAGGTGCCGAGGCGGGTTTCATGTGATATGATAGTTTCAGGGTCCTTGATATATGAGGATTTGACATATTTTTACTGAATATATTGTAACATTTAGCTGATTTTTTGTTTGGCGTGGTATTGGCTAATGGCTTCAAAATGTCAATTGATTGTTGAAGGAGCATACCCTACTCGGGTATGGGAGATGGAAAGGGAATCTAATTCAGGTGAGTGGTTGAGAGCTGATGTGCGTTAGTCACTTAGTCATATGAGTGCACTCATTTATGGTTGCATTATTACTGTCTTATGGGAAAGTTGAAATACTGAAAGGTGGCCATGGAGGTGCATAATATATATTTTATGGTTGCATTATTACTGTCTTATGGGAAGTTGAAATACTGAAAGGAATCCTTCATTTTTCAAGCTAAAAGTCGATGTTTCATAATTATTTCAGGAAAGGAAAAGTTCAGGGGTGCGTGGTTGGGTGGTAGACTCCTTTTGTTCTACTTGAGGTAACACAGTGAAGGACTGCTACCCATTTAAGTGTGCCCTTCGTAATGGTCACCAACTTTACTCATTTGCTTTTGGTCATATATTGGGGTTGAAAATCTTATTTATGATTTCATCTGTCAGATTCACTCCTACTTGAGGTTCACTGTTGTGATTCCATTCGCAGCTTTCATGTTACAGGAAGCATAAATGAGTGGAGAAAGTTGCTTATGAGGATTGGAAATCCACTGTACTTTCATCTAATAACAAAAACAGAGCAAAAGATGGTGAAGCTCTTTCCTTCTTTCTTACCTGCACGTTACCATTGCCACAATGACACTATAACTGATTCTTATTTCTCATTTGCTCTCTCCACACTACAAGAAAAGATGGGTCTAGCAGCAAAAACTTAGCAGCAAATATTAAAAAATGCTGTTAAAATAACATTTTAACAACACTTCATAAAAAATGCCGTGAGAAGTAAAAAAAATTGCCGCACGTGTCATCGCGCCGCTTTTCACTCCCACAAATAATTTTTCTTATTTTCTATTTTCATTTTTCTCACCTCTTTCCTATCCTTACTCTCGCTCTAGGTCATGAACTTACTCTCGCTCCACTCTCAATCAACTGATTGCATCAGTCCATGTGAAAAATCTTCAATTTGAGAGCTTCTTTTCAATCCAGAGTTTCGATTGTAATTCAGAGAGAAATCCAAACCAAACTGTTGAGTTCATTAATCAGTCTATCCACTTGCAGGTAAATTCCATCAATATTGCTTTGTTTTTGTTCGATTTCATGCTTTAATTGGGGATTTATGTTAATATTATACGAAACCCCAGCTTTCTAAGAGTTTGAAGCTGATTTTAGAACTCTGTTTCAAATTTTATCTATCTTGATGTATGATTTAATTCAAAATTATTGGGAATTTAGTTGAAATCTCTTTCCTTTTCCTTTTCTGTTGAACCAAATTAACGTCCTATTTCTGTTCATTTTCCTCCTATTTCTGGACAACCAAACGGACCGCCGGTATCAGAGTCAGACGTCTTCATCTTTTGTCTCCTTCTGCAAGAACTTAGGTATGATCGCAGATATCTCTGAATAATTACTTCAAGCAAGTTCAGTTACAGATCTCTCTCTCTAATAATATGAACAACACTAGTTTACTCAAGAATTCATTGAATTGTCATAACATTTCACTTCACTTGGGTTGATAGTTTACTTATATTACGAAGCCAACTGACTTTACAATATTGCTTATATATATATGTGATTAGGTTTATGAAGGAGGTCACAAGGTTCATCTTAGTCTGTTTACCTTGATATTGTTATTTTTCTAGTTTTTAATTGATCTAACAGGAAACTTGTCAGAATACAACGATATTGGTATTAATTAAATAGTACTTGCTGTGGTTTTTTGAGTTGAACTTGGATCAAATATTCATGTGGAGTAAATTTGAAAATAAGAGAATGAATAGGTGGTTCTAGTCACCAAATTGGTATTTTTCTTGGTTTGGGTTAAGATAGTGCCTGATTTTTTTTTTGTTGGATTGGAAATCTATTCTCAGCATGTAGACTATTGAATAGTAAAGATACCGCCCAAGAGTATATCTTGACCGGCGTCGGCTTGCATTGTGATTATTACCACTCTTGTTGTCTTTGTATTTGTCTTAAAATTACCATTACTAAACGCATTATATGCTATTGTAGAAAAGTGGAAATAAACTAGTGAATAAGTAAAAAGTGTACTTATAAAAAATAAAAAATAAAAAGTAAAAAGTAATATGTGTGATGCAGTAGCGGGTAGGGGCGATTCGAAACTAGAATTGAAGTAGAGTAAGAACGAGATTGAGAGAGCGAGGGTAGAAGAATAGAGGGAAGAGGAATCAGAAGAGAACAAGAATTCAGAGGGAGAAGAAATCACGATAATCTCAAATTTCAATATCAATAATAATCATCAAAAGCTGACTTTCCCAATATCTGAACCAACATATAAATAGACATCAAAGAAAACCCTAATCAACCTATTACCATAAATAAAACCCTAAATTGCTGAAATATCCCATAATAATAATAAATAAACAAAAATCCGTAATTCTATCTTTCTTTCCCACGTTTCCAATAATAGGCATTGGCCGTATGGACTTCAAGCTCTCGGGCCAGGCCCTATTCTTCATCATTCCCTCCCGGTTGAGAAGAACTCTCCACCGGAGAGTAAATGCATAAATATATCTCCAAAAAGTATGGGTCAATACTCCGTCTGGTATTTAAAACTGGAAAACCCTTCCATCGAACAAGTTAATAGTCAATATCTCCAAGATGAAGGCTATCACTCTGATAATCAACAATATCCTTTGTCCAAGCCATATAATGCGACTGAAAAGATAAATGAACTAATGCCAGTGCTGAGGAAAATGTAAATCCACCTGTAGGAACACATGCCAATAAAATAGGAGGCTCAAAGGTGCCTCAGTTAGGTAACAAATACTCCACATCAAAAATTGAACTAGTACTTATATCCAAAGACCAGTCAAAGAAATACGCATTAGGTCCTGATTTTTGAATGATGTGGCAAAGTCTATCAATTTTGGCATGTTTCATCTGGTAGGAGTTTTTATGACAAGGTTGAGGTAGTGCACAAATTATAGCATAATCTCCTTCATTAAATTCATGATTCCTATGATGAGCATGTGCAATGAGTTCATAATTCTTTTTACTTAAGACAATTTCTTGTTGCATATCGGCATAAAAATCATGAACAAGCTGAACGAAGTAATCAACAAACTCAAGTGAATACACATGGAGGTGAAGGAACATGATCAATGGACTGGCATGGAAACGAATTTTGGACAATTTCGAAAAAATAATTGCCAGTAAATTGATTTGTTAAACTTGTATAGGCATATTCCATTATGGGCAATAACAAATTCCAAGTGTTTAGGTGCACGTTAGTAATAAAACTAACCAACTTTCCCAAACCTTGTTTCACAACCTCAGTTTTTCTATCATTCAAAGGACAAGATGCAAAAGGAAACTTCAAATTTGTTTCTATGAATGTCCAAAGTGTCTTCCAGAAATTACTATTGTACTTGACATCCTTGTTTGACACAATAGACTCTTTTTCAGACACATCTTGACCAATAGAAGTGACTAAAGCAAAATCAATGGACAAAAGGACTACGGATGGTAGAGCTTTTGAAAGACAAGACTTAAGAATTGTGGCACAATTGTTCAAAACTTTTTCTCCTAACTTGTAAGATTGAGGTGAAATAGTTTGATTTCTCCTCTTAACACTAGTTAGAAGAGGACGAGATATATGGTCGCTTTCTTCCAGGACAAGAGTCATAATTTTCTCCATGGATGAAAAGACACTATCTGAGTTATAATAACCTATTTCCCTTAAAAAGTGTTCAAACATCTCAACAATTAATTCATTATAATCCAAATCATGCATAACCAAACATGACTTGACATTTGCAAATGTGTGGATAATTTTGATCCTTTTACCGTAAGATGGACTAGATGTATTAGATAAATTTTCAAAAGATGATACAATCATATGAAATACTTCTACCATTTGATCATCATTGTAGGGAAAATCTGGTGCTGTAATCCTTGTTAACTCACTAAGGCATGGGGCTACTGCAACTCTAACATCACAATCTGAATGCTGTAAAAATTCTTTAGCAATTAAAGCCTTCATTATTGGAGAGAGTGCAGCTTGCATTGAAGCACACGGGTCCTGGTTTACTTTGCAAAGCAAGTGATCAGTTTTGGTAAGCAACCAAAGGAGCTAACTGATTGAGGATGGAGGTTGAAAAAGACTATTTCCAATTTTCAGAAGTTGTTGTTCCAAATTTATTTTCAGTGTTGTTTTTGTTTCCCTTTCATTTTCACTCCAGTTAATTATATTTCTGTGTGATGGGAAGCTTGGTTTGGACTCAACAATCTTAGCCTTGCTTGGCTTAGAACAAAGCCATTGGGGACACAAAACGATGTTCGCCTCTGACATCGTTAAGAAGATGTATTAGCTAGGTCAATGGACAAAGTTTAAAGAAGGTTGTTGATGGTCATGGTGGAAAGGTAGGATATAAGAATGGTTGAGGATAATGCCAACATAGAACTCAAATTGAATTAAGTAAACTAAATATAAACTAGAGCAATGCACAACTAAGAAAATCAGAATGCAATAAAATTGATTATGCCAAAATTCATGCACTGATTGTAAGTGTTTAGGTGCAAAAATAAGGTGGAAACGTGAATTTTTTTTTTTTTAGAGCTTATTCAAGAAAGGCACTCAAAGGAAAATAATAGTAAAAGAAATAAATAATTTGGTTCAATAATAAATGGGTTCGACTAGGACCTTTTGCAATTTCTAAACCAATCAAATAGATATAAGTACTAAAACAATTTTCAAGTGAAGAACTTGTACCTTTTCTGAAGTACTGTGTAGATCCCAATTGAAGAAGGCTACCTAAAAGTGGCAATGAGCTGAAACTGGAATTCTTTTTTTTATTTTTTTTTATCCTGCTGAACTGGTATTTTACTGGGCTGGTTTCTGCAGAAAACTGGTGCAGTTCTGGACTGGTTCCAAAACTAGAATATCCCTGCACTTGTGACCAAACAGTGCTGCATATGATTCTGGACTGGAGAAAATCTGCTGGGCCAAGACAGACAAACTGGTATGGATGTTAAAATCTGGGCTGCTGGATGTTTCAAAGTGAACTGGGTCAAACTGTGATGCGGGTCGGGTTTACCGGTTTAAAGAGAAACCAAATCTTTCCTTTTTCCAAACCAATTCTGACTTTTTTTTTTTTTTTTTTTGGAAAGTTAAACCAATTCTGACTTCCCAAAATCCTGATATATCCAAACCAGACGCTATAATCCAAAGATGACTTTCTAAAATCGCGAAGATGACGCTGAATTAAATTCGACTTCCCAATATCAAACACTGCTGAAATGGTGACTAACAGCGATGATCAGAAATTCTCTGGTGAGATTGTTTGGCGGTGGGCTGGCTTACAGCAAGAGATGTAATGATGGTGACGGTGGCGACGAGAAAACTCTGGCAAGATGAACTGTGATGGTTTTCACTAGAGTGGGTGAAGAACACGATGAACAAGGGCTTGGTTTAGGGCAGACGTTTGGATGAATTGTGGTGGGGTTTTGGTGGCAGCGGATAGAGGTATTTTGGGTGGATGACAGAAGGCGATGAACAAATAGTGGGTGTACTGTGTGTGAACAGTAGGGCTAACAATGATTATTGCTGAACGTTTATTTTTTATTTTTTGCTAAAAAGATGACGATGGCTGAACTTCGAATCTTTGCTCTGATACCAATTGATGCAGTAGTGGGTAGGGGCGATTCGAAACTAGAATTAAAGTAGAGTAAGAACGAGATTGAGAGAGAAAGGATAGAAGAATAGAGGGAAGAGGAATCAGAAAAGAAGAAGAATTCCGAGGGAGAAGAAATCACGATAATATCAAATTTCAATATCAATAATAATCATCAAAAGCTGACTTTCCCATTGTCTGAACCAACATATAAATAGACAGCAAAGAAAACCCTAATCAACCTATTACCATAAATAAAACCCTAAATTGCTGAAATATCCCATAATAATAATAAATAAACAAAAATCTGTAATTCTATCTTTCTTTCCCACGTCTCCAATAATAGGCATGGGCCGTATGGACTTCAAGCTGGCTTGGGCCGTATGGACTTCAAGCTCTCAGGCCAGGCCTGGTTCTTCATCAATGTGTCCTGCTGGTTTTTATTTAATTATATGCTATTATAGATCATGCTTTGAGCACAACTCGAGCGTTTGGAAATAAACTAGCGAATTCAGTGTCACATTGACTGTTAAATGCTTAGGCAACATAGGAGATCATCTGCACTCATTTGAAACATCATTTATACTACTCTACATTTTCATTTTACTTACTTTTCATGCTCAATTAGCAAAACCATTTCAGGGTCACATATCTCTCAGGTCTGATCTAATTAGATATTTGATAATAATTGGTATAATTTAAAACTAACAGTAATGTTTCTTATAAGTACGTTTCTTATAATAAAAGAGTCACACAAAACTCTAATATGAATGGATGGGCAGCTCACGGACTCCAGTGAAGTTTAATTTTCCAAGTTTAATTTTCCATGCTTGTCAACTACGGGAGGGAAATTTCATTTACTAATGGGCTTGGGTTGAAAGGATGGAAGTTGTATGTTAAATGTTTTGGCACTCAAACCCTAAGGTTTAAAGTACATGTTTGGGTAGAGTGGGAAAGGATGGCACCTTTCTTTGTTTTATAGAAATGTACCTTGTGAATATCTGCTTATTTGAAGAACTACACAATTTTTACAGGACTATTGGCAGAGCTTCTGTAACGACCCAAATCCTCATGGATCCGGATCATTAAATGGGTCCTTACCCGACCCAAAATCATCCAAGGGTAAAACGGTCATTTCACGTTAAATTAAAATGTTGAGTTCCAAAAAGGGCAAGATGGTAATTTACCATATTTCAATAAATTAAGACCCAAAGGACGTCATAGTCATTTACGTGCATCACACAATAATTAAAATGAGGTCCGGGGTAAAAATAGTCCTTTTGGGGGAAAAATATAATTATTTCATTTTGGTGGGTCATAAAATAATTACGTGCAACATCACTTGGGGCCAAAATGAAATTATAAGAATTTAAAATTTGTAATTACATATGTGACGTAAACCGGTCGACGTATATGCATCAAACGTCGATTGGTTTGGGTTAGGAACAGTGGTAATAACCACTGCCAAGATACCGGTCGACTGGTTATGAACATAAGTTATAATGGATACCGGTCGACTGGTTTGGGACGTATGCCATAATGACCATTCTGCCCAGATACCAGTCGACATTTGGGAAGCCACGTGTCGATCGGTTCTGGGAAAATTGCACTCCTACTTCCCACTGTTCAGTGATAACTCACTTACACCAACACTTGGTAATTAACCACCCCGCCACTACATTCACGTATAAAATTAAGATATACTTCAACATCAAATTGTAATATCAACCACCACGTTGGTAACGTAATTTACAACACGTTACTTAGAATACACAAAACTGATTTTGAGTGAGTAATACTTAATTACATTTTCTCAAGGATCATTCACAAGCTTAATTACATTCCTAAAACTATAATTACACATGAAATAGCTAAATACAAGATACCAAAAATCATCTTCTAACAACTTTCAATTTTGAGGTGGATTAGCATCCGCCGATTCTTTTCCAAGACCTGAAAAAAATATCTATAGATAGTAGGGTGAGCTATATGCTCAGTAGGTGGCACTTAAGACACACATCTTGTGTCCTTGTGAATCCAATCAAAGCATAGACCGATGGGAAATGGGGATCATGCAATGTAGGGTTAAAACAACTTCAATGTCAATTCCAAGTGTAAACAATGCAATACAATGAAATGCAATGCATGATATGTCACTCCCCATTTTTCATTTCTCAAAATCATACTTTCCAACTGTTAATACAGCCCGCCCTTTGGTAACCCCGCCGCGACATGAGAGGAGGATTGGCTAGTGTCCCTGACCCTTGGTAACCCCGCGACGTCATTATGGGGCCCAGCTAGCTCAACCACGCTAGGGCGACTCTCTAGTCCCCTCTAGGCTATATTAACCTCCGGCCCGTTGGTAACCCTGCAGCGACTGGGTTTATCAAAACCATTTCACAAAAACTCTTCTCCCAAAATTCCCGTTTTCATTTCAAAAACTGATTTCTCCTATTTCATGCAACCCAATGGCATGTACATGTATATGTGTCTCAAACTTACAATATTATGGCATGTAGAAGTTTTACATTTCATAATTACTTCACAACTAAGCATATATCATATTTAGGGCCTGTTTGGTATTTATTTTATTTTTATTGTTTTTGTTTTAGGCCGGCTACAGTAGCCCAAATGAAGCCCAAAACATGTTTGGTTAATTATGTTTTGTTTTGCACAGTTATAAAACATTTCAGTAAAAAATCTCAAAACTTGAAACACCAAAATGGTGTTTTATCTCGTTTCAGCCCTGTTTGCCCAAGATTTCACTGTAGCGGAAGAAGTAGCCGACCCAACTTAAAACATACTTACTTCAGGTATATAAACATTTTAGGTTATTTTTGGCAAATTTTCTCTCTCCTCTCCCAATACTCTCTCTGCGATTCAAGGCGATTTCAGAAAATTTCATCACCGATCGAAGTTGCATTTGCTGGATTCAAACTTGAAACATATAAAACACAGATCACACAGAAACAAACCAGTATCGTCTTCATCTTCTTCCTTTCAACCAGTAACCCTAGTGACACATGATATGGTGCTCTGAAATAAAACCATGGCTACCAATGTTTTGATAATTAGAAATTCTAAATTATTCTTGGTCACTGAAGTTGAATATGCAATCTAACTCAAGTAGATTCCACTCTCGGCAAAGCCAAAATTTTGAAACCATTTGCTGAAAATAAAAGCCCCAGTTTCAAAGCTAGAAGATTTTTTGAAACCTTTTATTGAAATTAAAACCCCAATTTTTGTAAAATCTAATCTGGATACCAAACCCACATCACACAAAACCAAACCAGTATAATAACCCAACAAAACCCAAACACAGCACAAACCAAACCCAGAACAATGGAGTCGTCATCTCACGTTGGCGGCCTTGTTCGGAGCGTCGGTAATGGCAGTCTCTACCTTCTACATCCACAAGCGTAACCTCGACCAAGCTCTCGAACGCCTCATCAAAATCCGCCGCAAATCCCCTCCCTCCGCCGCCGATCATTTCGCCTCCGATGATGAGGAACATGAAGATCACGACAGAGGTGGAGAGATTGACAACTTCATGCCAGCTAAGGTCCTGAGATAAGGCTGACTTCTTTTCTTTTTCTTTTTTTCGTTTTTTTTTTTCACTTTTTAGGTTTTTTTTTTGAAACAATTGCAGTGACCAAATGGGTTTTGCATGTTTCTGTTTCCAATATTTTCACAACAAAATATCATTCCCAAACGTGTTTCTAATTTCTTTACAAAACACTCTTACAACAAAAATATTGTTTCTGTTTTTGTCAAAAGTAAAACACCAAAAACAAAACGCATACCAAACGGACCCTTAACATCATCAATTGAGTCATCAACACATTAAACACAACAAAACTATCACCACAACATGCTTTTCACATAGAACAAATCATAATCAAAATCATGAATTTCTCTAGACATCAATTACACAACATTGAAACAATTAACTCTTAAATTAAGCATGTTTATCACACAAAGGAGATATAACTCACAATGGAACAAGAAGGAAGTGGATTAAGGGCCCCGACCTCAAGTTTGCACCAAAACCCTAAAGATGGGTCTCAATTTCGAATTCCCTAGGGAGGGTCAAAGCTGGAATTGATGGTACTCACGCGTAGAGCTTGTCGTGCTCTCCGTTTTGCCTCAAACGGCACCTTAATCCACCAAGAATTGAGAGAATAATCAAAGCTCAAAGATTGCCTTTTAAGTGAAAAGAAAAAGAAAAGGAAAATGAGAGAGGGAGAGAAGCTACAGGAGAGAGAGAATGTGTGGAGCAAAGAAGTGTGGTCTCAAGACCATTTCAAGTGTGAGTGGTGGGCCCCACCAGATTTTCTTTTCTTTTCCCCTTTTTCTTTTACTTCAATTCTTACACCACACACACAAGTGCACCACAAGCAAATACTACTTAATCCACATAATTTAAAATGCACAATGCAAATGGACCCAACCACAATCCCGAACACAACATATGAAAAGACAGAAATACTCGTCTCCACGAATTAATGGAAAAATGAAAATGCTGAAAAATCAGAAACATCACAATCTCCCCAACTTAAAAGGATTTCGTCCCCGAAATCAAGCCGTACCTGGGGAAGAGAACAACTCTGAATACTTGGAGCGAACCTGCTGTTCAAGCTCCCAAGTAGCCTCCTCGACTCCGTGGTGTCGCCAAAGAACTTTCACTATCTGCATCGTTTTACCCCTTAACACCTTCTGCCGTGTGTCAAGAATCTGCACTGGTCCCTCTTGATAGGAGATATCTTCATCAATGTCCACATCGACCCAATCCAAAATGTGAGATGGATCCGGTTTATACTTCCGTAGCATCGACACATGAAAAACATTATGAACCTTGTCCATCTGCGGTGGTAAAGCGAGTCTGTAAGCAACCTCTCCTATACGGTCCAAAATCTCAAATGGTCCAATGAATCGTGGCGACAACTTGCCACTTTTCCCAAACCTCATTAAACCCTTCCGTGGAGAAACCCTCAGAAAAACATGGTCTCCCACTTCAAAAGCTAGCGGTCGTCTCCGCTTGTCTGCATAGTTCTTCTGTCGACTCTGAGCGGTGAGCAACCTCTGTCTGATCAATTTGATTTTCTCGGTAGTCTCGAGTATAATGTCGGGTCCTAAGGCAGCTGTCTCACCTACCTCAGTCCAACAAACTGGAGACCTACAAGGTCTGCCATACAACGCCTCAAACGGAGCCATCTCTATGCTCGCCTAATAACTGTTGTTGTAGGCAAACTCAATGAGCGGTAGATGATCTTCCCAACTGCCACCCAAGTCAAGCACACATGCCTAGAGCATATCCTCCAAGATCTGAATAGTACGCTCCGACTGGCCGTCTGTCTGTGGATGGAATGCCGTGCTAAGGTTTAACGCTGAACCAAACACTATTTGAAGTCCTTCCCAGAACTTCGAAGTGAACTTAGCATCCCTGTCCGAAACAATGGTTACTGGAACTCCATGTAACCTTACAATCTCCTTCACGTAAAGAACGCCAAGTGTCTTTGCATCATCTGTTGTCTTAATAGGCAAAAAGTGAGCCGTCTTGGTCAATCTATCAATGATGACCCATACGGCCTCATTGCCCCTTCGTGACCTTGGAAGACCTGTCACAAAATCCATCGCAATCTGTTCCCATTTCCATTGTGCTACAGGCAATGGTTGCAACAATCCTGCCGGTCTCTGATGCTCGGCCTTTACCTCTTGACAGGTAAGGCACTTAGCCACAAACTGCGCAACGTCCTTCTTTATCCTATTCCACCAATACTGACGTCTCAAATTGTGATACATTTTTGTACCACCTGGATGAACTACAAAGCGGGAAGTGTGAAACTCCCGAAGAACATCTTCACGACAAACCGTGGGGACAACCAACAAATCTTTAAACCGTAGACCCCTATCTGCATGTAAGGTCCAATCCTTCACTGTCTCACCACTGGAGATTAAAGCATGAATGGCATCCAAATCTGGATCCTGTCTCTGTGACTCAATCACTCGTCCAACAAGAGTAGGCTGAGCCATAAGACTAAACAAGAATGCCGACCCATTGCAATCATCCTCATCTAAACAACACAATCCCATTTCCGCCAAACTTTCAAGCATCTTCCACTTCCGAATAGCCAAACAGGCCAAAGTGCCTCTAGATTTTCGGCTTAAGGCATCAGCTACAACATTTGCCTTGCCCGGATGATACTGCAAATCAAAGTTGTAATCTTCCAAGTACTCAACCCACCGTCTCTGTCTATTGTTCAAGTCCTTTTAGGAGAAAAGGTACTTGAGGCTCTAATGATCCGAGAACACCTCGAATCGTTCACCATACAAGTAATGTCTCCAACATTTTAGAGCAAATACTACTGCCGCCAACTTTAAATTATGAGTAGGGTAGTTGTACTCATGAGTCTTTAACTGCCGAGACCCATAAGCCACTACTCTACCATCTTGCATCAACACATATCCCAAGCCATCGCGTGAAGCATCACAATAAATCACATAACCCAAGCCACGCTCAGGTATCACCAACATTGGAGCTGTAGTCAATCTTGTCTTCAACTCCTGAAAAGATGACTCACAAGCTTCATTCCACGTAAACTTGATCCCTTTCCGAGTCAAACGGGTCATAGACGCTGCCAAACGGGAGAAATCTTTCACAAATCTCCGGTAGTAACCCGCTAGACCAAGAAAATTGCGGATCTCAAACACATTCTTGGGTTGCTCCCAAGTCAAAACAGCTTCAATCTTTGATGGATCAACTGACACTCCACCTTCTGGAACAACATGCCCCAAGAACTTCACCTCTTGTAGCCAAAACTCACACTTCTCATATTTGGCATGCAATCGGTGCTCCCGCAAAATCTGCAAAACAATACTTAAATGGACCTCGTGCTTTTCCCGAGTCCGTGAATACACAAGAATGTCATCCACGAATACTACCACAAACTGGTCCAAGTAATCGTGAAAGACGCGGTTCATCAAGTCCATGAATGCCGCTGGCGCTTTAGTCAAGCCAAAAGGCATAACAAGGAACTCATAGTGTCCATACCGTGTACGGAATGCTGTCTTTGGGATATCTTCATCCCTAACCCTCAACTGATAGTAGCCAGATCTTAAATCAATCTTTGAGAAACAACTGGCTCCTTTCAACTGATCAAACAAATCGTCTATCCTTGGCAAACGATACTTGTTCTTGATGGTGGCATGATTCAACTTCCGGTAATCAATGCATAACCTCAAAGAACCATCTTTCTTTTTAGCAAACAAGACCGGTGCGCCCCATGGTGACACACTTGGTCGGATGAAACCTTTCATCCTCAAATCATCAAGCTGCCTTTTCAATTCTTCCAATTCAACTGGTGCCATACGATATGGTGCCATAGAAATCGGCGCAATACCGGGCATCAAATCAATGGTAAACTCCACTTTCCGGTGTGGAGGCAACTCCGTCAGATCCTCTGGAAACACGTCCAGAAAATCACGAACAACCGCCGGATAACTTTTTCCCACAACATCCTCCTCTTTGGCTAGAAGACTAGCCAAGAAGTAATCACCACGACTCCGTCCACGAATTCCATACAACGATGAAGGCTGGGAATCACTCCGATCTCCCATGAAAAAGAAACAATCTCCCTCAGGAGTGCAAACCGTGACTTTTCCTCTGAAACAATCGATCGTGGCATGAAAGGAAGCTAACCAATCCATCCCGAGAATGACGTCAAAGCTAGTCATCTCCAGGAGGATAAGGTCAAACACGAAAGTTCGTCCAACAATCACAATGGGACAATCCCGCACAACTCGGCTCAAAGACACTGAAACCCCAACCGGCGTATCATCACACAACGCCCGATCCAAGAAACTAACCTCTAACCCCGATGCAAATGCAAATGATGATGAAATGAAAGAGTGAGATGCACCAGAGTCAAACAAAACACGGGCCCAAGAACCAAACACTGGAAATATACCTCGGAGAACTGACGGTCCAGGAGATGGATCAGTCGGTGCAAGTGCAAAGACACGTCCCTGTTGTGCCTGTGCTTGAGAACCACCAATCTGAACACCAGACTATTGTGCCGACACAGTAGGAGTATCCCTCCTAGCTGGACGAGAACCCTGAGAAGACATGGCAGGCTGAGGTGGTGGCGGTGGTCTGAAACCTGACTGAACTGTAGCCGACTGTGACGGCCTCTGTCATGACCCTCTGCCACTACCAGTACCTGCTCCCTGACTAGGACAGTCCCGAATCAAGTGATCCGGCTGGCCACACCCATAATAAGTCCTTGGAACTGAAGAAACTGAAGACGATCTCATGGGACAACTAGACATGTAGTGCCCAGGTTGCTGACATTGATAACAAACAACTCCACTTCTGTCAGATCCAGCTGGTATAGGAGTGGTAGGAGCAGATCGTGCAGACTGTTGCCCCTGAAACTGAAATGAACCACTCTTGCTCCTTTTCCAAGGAGATCCCTCTGAGGATGGCCCTACACCTCTCTTTTGCTTCAACTGCTCTCTTCTTGCATCCTTCTCTTTATTATCGGCCTCCAACATTAATGCCCTTTCTACTGCTTCCGAGTAAACTTTAATGAATTGCGCCGTGATCAACGGCCTCATCCGATCATTAAGACCAGAAACAAACTTCCGAGTCTTGCAAGCTTCATCTCTCACCATTTCTGGAGCAAAACGGGAGAGTGAAGTAAACTTGTTCTCATATTCTGCCACTGACATGCTCCCTTGAATAAAGTTATGAAACTGGTCTTGTAACTCCCATCTTTTGGAAAGCGGAAAATACTTTTCATAGAACAGTTCCTTGAACCTGTCCCAACTCATCTCCTCCACCTTATACTGGTTGGTGATTGACTTCCACCAAACCTTGGCATCTTTAGCAAACTTGTAAGTAGCTAGGATGATCTTCAAATGATCCTCCGTCACATCCATTGAGGTCAACTAAGTCTCAACCTGATCCAGGTAGTCATCTGCTACCATTGGATCCGCACCGCCCTCGAACATAACTGGCATCAACTGAGAAAAACCTTTAATGATCTTGAGACACTTCTGAGCTGGCGTCTCTTCAACTTGAACTGTAGGTTGTGGTGCCGATTGCGACTGAGCAGCAATCGTTGCCCTCACGGCACTTTGCAACAAACGATTAAACTCCAGTGCCACAGAACCTTCACCCACTTCTACGGGTGCTTCAACATTATCCCTCATCGGGGGAACAACTATTAGGGGAATCAAGTCCCTAAGAAGCGTGTCCTCATCATTTAGTTCCGCCGGATTAGAGCTAGAGCTCTCACCAACGTCACCCCTTGTTGGCCTAGGGCCAACTTCCCTTAACTCTTCACGTCGTGACATCGTGCTATAAAATGAGAGAACGGTTCAAAAACATGACGCTAAAGTCCACCGTGGACGACTCAACATAAAATGATGACGTACCAACACTTAGCATGCACAACTATACAAGAAACACTTTAATGTAACATTTAGGCACATAAGCACATAGACAATTAAACATACTTGTTCAAATAAATAAACACGTAGCAAGGAATCACGTAAACAATGCAAACAACACCCCACGTAACTCTATGTAGGCCTCTACCTGTCGTCCCAAAGGTTTTCGAAGCCGCGCTCTGATACCATTCTGTAACGACCCAAATCCTCATGGATCCGGATCATTAAATGGGTCCTTACCAGACCCAAAATCATCCAAGGGTAAAACGGTCATTTCACGTCAAATTAAAATGTTGAATTCCAAAAAGGGCAAGATGGTAATTTGCCATATTTCAATAAATTAAGACCCAAAGGACATCATAGTCATTTACGTGCATCACACAATAATTAAAATGAGGTCTGGGGTAAAAATAGTCCTTTTGGGGCAAAAATATAATTATTTGATTTTGGTGGTCATAAAATAATTACGTGCAACATCACTTGGGGCCAAAATGAAATTATAAGAACTTAAAATTTGTAATTACATATGTGACGTAAACCGGTCGACGTATATGCATCAAACGTCGACTGGTTTGGGTTAGGAACAGTGGTACTGCCAAGATACCAGTCGACTGGTTTGGGATACCGGTCGACTGGTTTGGATACCAGTCGACTGGTTCTGAACATAAGTTATAATGGATACCGGTCGACTGGTTTGGGACACCGGTCGACTGGTTTGGGACGTATGCCATAATGACCATTCTGCCAAGATAACGGTCAACATTTGGGAAGCCACATGTCGATCGGTTTAGGGAAAATTGCACTCCCACTTCCCACTGTCCAGTAATAACTCACTTACACCGACACTTGGTAATTAACCACCCTGCCATTACATTCACGTACAAAATTAAGATATACTTTAACATCAAATTGTAATAACAACCACCACCACGTTGGTAACGTAATTTACAATAGGTTACTTAGAATACACAAAATTGATTTTGAGTGAGTAATACTTAATTACATTTTCTCAAGGATCATTCACAAGCTTAATTACATTCCCAAAACTATAATTACACATGAAATAGCTAAATACAAGATAGCAAAAATCATCTTCTAACAACTTTCAATTTTGAGGTGGATTAGCATCCGCCGGTTCTTTTCCATGACCTGAAAAAAATATATATAGATAGTAGGGTGAGCTATATGCTCAGTAGGTGACACTTAAGACACACATCTTGTGTCCTTATTGATCCAATCAAAGCATAGACCAATGGGAAATGGGGATCATGCAATGTAGGGTTAAAACAACTTCAATGTCAATTCCAAGTGTAAACAATGCAATACAATGAAATGCAATGCATGATATGTCACTCCCCATTTTTCATTTCTCAAAATCATACTTTCCAACTGTTAATACAGCTCGCCCTTTGGTAACCCCTCCGCGACATGAGAGGAGGATTGGCTAGTGTCCCTGACCCTTGGTAACCCCGCGGCGTCATTATGGGGCCCAGCTAGCTCAACCACGCTAGGGCGACTCCTTAGTCCCCTCTAGGCTATATTAACCTCCGGCCCGTTGGTAACCCCGCAGCGACCGGGTTTATCAAAACCATTTCACAAAAACTCTTCTCCCAAAATTCCCGTTTTCATTTCAAAAACTGATTTCTCCCATTTCATGCAACCCAATGGCATGTACATGTATATGTGTCTCAAGCTTACAATATTATGGCATGTAGAAGTTTTACATTTCATAATTACTTCACAACTAAGCATATATCATATTCAACATCATCAATTGAGTCATTAACACATTAAACACAACAAAACTATCACCACAACATGCTTTTCACATAGAACAAATCATAATCAAAATCATGAATTTCTCTAGACATCAATTACACAACATTGAAACAATTAACTCTCAAATTAAGCATGTTTATCACACAAAGGAGATATAACTCACAATGGAACAAGAAGGAAGTGGATTAAGGGCCCCTATCTCAAGTTTGCACCAAAATAAAGATGGGTCTCAATTTCAAATTCCCTAGGGAGACTCAAAGCTGGAATTGATGGTACTCACGCGTAGAGCTTGTCGTGCTCTCCGTTTTGCCTCAAACGGCACCTTAATCCGCCAAGAATTGAGAGAATAATCAAAACTCAAAGATTGCCTTTCAAGTGGAAAGAAAAAGAAAAGGAAAATAAGAGAGGGAGAGAAGCTACGGGAGAGAGAGAATGTGTGGAGCAAAGAAGTGTGGTCTCAAGACCATTTCAAGTGTGAGTGGTGGGCCCCACCAGATTTTCTTTTCTTTTCCCCTTTTTCTTTTACTTCAATTCTTACACCACACACACACAAGTGCACCACATGCAAATACTACTTAATCCACATAATTTAAAATGCTCAATGCAAATAGACCCAACCACAATCCCGAACACAACATGCGAAAAGACAGAAATACCCTTGTCTCCACGAATTAATGGAAAAATGAAAACGCTGAAAAATCAGAAACATCACAGCTTCATCTGAGACAAGACTGTACTCTCGTGCTTCCAAATTGTATCCGCTGGATCCGTCGTCAGAACTTCTGCAAACAAAAGCTGTTCAGTTCGAGGGATCTTTAAATGTGAGGGCAAGTTACTTCTCTGGTCAAGATATATATGGTGATGCAATTCTGGCATCTGTAGGGTACAAACGGAACTCTGCTGACCTCTTCCATAAAGATGTATCCTTGCATACGTATTACAGGTCCCTATCTGACTTCATTTGGTTTTTTGAATTGTTATTCCACCATATGCTCCCTTATACTGCTTAATCTCCAAATTCTTTAGCATTTTTTAAGTATTGGAGTGATCTGCACTGAAAGAAAAAAAAAAATCCTTACATTATTATTTGAGTGTTTTCTGAAAATAAATTATATTTGTGTGATTATAATTTTTTTGTCTTTAAAAAATTTCTTATACATCATTTCTTTCAAACTGGGTGTCTATACGGCATTCTATGAAATTAGGTGTGAATAAATTACATATAAATTTATTTTTCAGAATACCAGTGTGTGCATAATTGACCCTTGATTAATAGTTAGTTAATTCTGGTAAAATTAAATGGATTCTGCTGCAATTGAGCCTCTGTGCTCTACACTGCACGCAAGTACACCATAATCTTCAGTTGGGTTAATGGGCAGATTGCTTAGTGATCCCTTGTGTTTTCTAGAAAAATTATAAGTGGCCTAACATTTCACTTAAAGTAATGCTACCATGAGGTTGACCTCATGACACCTCTGAGTCTTTTTGTCGAGTTGATGTACAAATAACATACATTTCCTCTGTTTTTCCGAGCGATAGAATCACTCCAAAAGTGGATAACTACTTATATTATGAAATTATCTTGCTGTCTTAAAGTGTATCATGAAAAGAAATATTGACTTTATTTCTAATATCTAGCATTTGTTTGTGAAGTGCTTTGTGGCAGCTGGTGGATGATTTCATTTTGATACTTTCTTATAAAATGATAATTTGCATCGACTGCTTGTTCAAGTGTGCAGTCTTCTTATTTCCTAATGTTACAAACGAAACAAGTTTGATGCTAACTAATTGCATCGACTGGTTTTTTCTTGTGTTTCGTGTTTGTTTTTGTGTCTATTCTTTGTTGTAAGAAGGCAATGTTTGGCTACTAGCCCCACTGTGCTGTCAATGCGCCTGTTTGATGTGTCTTGTTCGTCTTCAACCTTATACTATTTTTGTTTGGTAGTCTTACAATTATCTCTGTCCGTAGATTTCAACTTTTCACTTTAAAATAATAATATTTTCAGTGGTAATAGAGTAACAGGGTTTTATGTTTAATCATATTGAATCTTTTTCCTTTTAAGCCTATTTAATTATTTTTCTGGTGTGATTGACCAAGTAGCTTGAAACTATGAAGTCCTTCAGTTGTTTGTGGTGGAGTAAGTAATTTGCGGATGCACATGGCTTATTTGTGTGATAGATGGTACGGTGGCCACTAATTGGGAGGCCAGTAATGCCATGGCCTTAGATGGCATTGTGTTTGAGGTATTAAAAATGCTACTCTGATTCAATTAGCCTGGAAGGTCTCAGTAGAAATTCACGTTCAAAGGAAATTTTTATATCTGTGATGCTCACACAAGCACGGTTGTATGGCCTAAGAAATATGTGAAAGTTCTAGAGGTCAATTGGTCCTTTTTTTTTTTTTTTTCCCGAAAACTAGTGATTAACATACAATCTGATTTTTTATATACTTGTTGGCATTACATTTAAGAATATTGTTTTCTGACAAGATTAAAACATCTATGATAAGAATTTTTGCTGCAACCTGTTAGTTCAGTTTTGTGATGTCTATTTCATTGAGAATAATTTTTGCTGCAACCTGTTAGTTCAGTTTTTTTAATATTGTTGCATTGGTGTTTACCTTAGAATTAGCCCTCCTTCCCAACACCAACAAGAGCAGCCATTGAAGACAGGAAGGATAAAAGGTTAGCTAATACTATCTGCTTCTCTGGTTTAGTATGTGTCTATGGAGGAAAGAACAGTTGAAAGACCTTTCAGTATTTTTTGCTTATTTGTTTCTTAATACACAGCTCAACGTAGACAAAATTAAGTTAATCGAACTCTGTGGCACATCAGAATCTGAATTTTCCAGTGTAAGAAGCACACTAAGTTTCATTTTTGTCATCTATTGTTCTGCACTAGATTTTTTTTGGCTCTCTTATCATGTTTTATTGTTCAATTTGATCTGCAGGTCTCTACATCCATGAAGGACCTGTGTCATGATGTTTTTGGGATATCAAAGGAAAAGAAAGATCCAAGAGATGTGAAAGGTTACCGAGGTATGACTTGCTTTGGTTTTCTTTAAGCTTACAACCTTCATATGCATATTCCAGTGCTCATTCATGTGATTTAGTAATGATTATTACCTCTTTATAGTGTTTTTGGAAACTTAGACCTCGTTTTCATCAATTCCTTCTGAAACTTGGCACCTGTACCATTTTGAGAAGATTGTGAAAGAAAATCAAAGTTAGTCTTTCTTTTCATTTTAGTGAGTTTATGTTAAGTTTGGCTTGTTATTGGGCTTAAAACGGCCATTGTTTGTGAAAATTTACATTACATTGTAATTACCATTAATATCATTTGATTTTATACTAGTAAACTTGTCATTTGTGATGACATGTCATTTCGAGTTACCTTCTTGTTAATGGGTAAACTTGTTTTATGTGAATATGGGCATGATATGCTTGAATAATTCACACTTGATAATTTTAGGACTTGTGCAAGTGCCAAAAATCATCTAGAGCCTATTAACTTTTTTCAGTAGTGCTCTCATTTCAGTGGTATAGGATGCAAATTTGGAATTTCTAAGGGCTGCTTTGGTCATATAATTGGTGAGCCCTTTTAATTTGGGGTCACTGTCATACAATTGGTACATTTTTGTCTACCCAGTTGGCTCCACTCATAATTTTATAATTTTCATATTATTGACATTGTATCTCAGATAGAATAGCGGTAATTTTCCTCTGAAAGCCAATAGGGACCCTTCACTGCCATTTTCATATGGGAATCTGTCCTTTGTTGGGTTTTCTGGGTCTATGTGTTTCCTCCGGTATCTTCGGATTTTCGAAGTTAAAAAAATGAATTTGTTGTGCACATTCAGTGAAGGCATGAGCTGCAAATGGAGCACACCTCTGTTTTCTTCGATTCGTTTAATAGTAGCATTAATTAAACTCTGTTTAACTAATATTTTGAGCCTCTGACCTTCTTCACTGAACTATTTTTAAATTACCTATTACAGATAAGGAGAGAAGTGTTAGCGAACTTATTGTGCATTACAATGACAACATGGGGCTGCAAATTTCTTTGATTAATTCAATAGTTGTATTAATTAACTTCTGTTTAATTTTTACTGAACCATTTTTTAATTACTTGTTACAGGTGAGGAGAGAAGGATTAATGAATTGGAGACGAGAGAAGAATCTGAGCTGTTCATTGCTAAGTACTCCTGAACTTCATCAGCTATACCCTCTCCACAAGGTATATATCTTACATGTCATACAATCTTCAGTGTGAAAAAGAGTTGTATTTTGTTTTCTCTTACCTCTTATGGATTTTCAGTCCCCGCAGAGTATCTACTGATATGTGACTCTGTCGTCTAGTTATTGTTTCTGTTCAGCTGTAAATATGTTTGTGGTAAATATAAATAATTGGAAGGAGAGTTTGCTTATATCTACCCTACGACATTATCTAAAATGATGAAAACTTGGCACCTCGTTTTGTAGTGTAGGAAGATGGTGGTTGAAATTTTTTGCTAGCTTCTGGAACATATCGTTAATATGTATCCCCTCACAAGATCCACAAGTGATCGGTTGAATAGCTCGTTTAAAGCTACACCTATTTCCTTATTGTCAACTTGGTACTTCAACCGAATTAGCTGAGAAAGCAACTTCAAAATTATAAGAAAATGAGAGAATAAGGTGTACTTTTGTCTATTAACAAAAGCAAAGCAAATGATGGTGAAACTCTTTCCTTCTTTCTTACTTGCACGTTACCATTGCCGCAATGACACTATAACTGATTCTTATTTCTCATTTGCTTTCTCCAGTTCCTAGAAAGCGCACTAAGCAAGCTCGACTCAACTTCGTGAAGGAGGCTCCTGAAACCCAAGTGGGTGCTTTGTGAAGGGCATTGTTCTTCTCTTCTAGTTTTTGTTTGTTTTATTTGGTGCAAGTGCTCACAAGGAGAGAGATGATGGAAGTACACCGGTTTTTCTTTACTTCTGAAAAACACAACTTTTTGAAGGTTGAATAATTTGGTCTATTGGTGTTTTTATCAATTTCTATATATTGCGCGGATTATGGAGGTGGCTTGATTATAGAAATTTGAGCAGCATTGTACAGAATGCAAATTATTGTCCATACATTACATTATCTTCATTTAAATATATTGTTATAGCCTCCAAAAATAAGTGTCATTATTATGGATTGGGTTTACTTGGTTAGTAAATTTGGTTTATGGGATTGATGTTGATTATAAAATTTTTATTTTTTTTATTTTTTATTTTATATTTTTATTTTATAAAATTGCTTCATTTAAATATGCTGTTATAACCTTTGAAAATAAGTGTCATTTTTCACGACATTTATATTTGCTGCCATATGTTTTTCATATTTGGCAACAAATGTATTTATTGCCATGTCTAGTGCGACAGCAAATACAAATGCTGCCAAGTAGTTATGGCAGCATATTTTTTTAAACTTTTGACAAACAAATAAAAGTGCTGGTAGAGACCCTAATTGTGGTAGTGTACACACTGCCTTCAAATCCTTCGTCCCGTTGTCCTCGACATCATCCTGTCGTCATCAACATCGATCTGCAGTTGACGTCGTCCTACTGTCCCACCGTCCTCCGTTATCGACATCGGTCTGCAGTCGACGTAAGGTGTTGGTGTCCCGTCGTCCTTGACATCATCCACCGTCATCGACATCGTCCTATCGTCATCGACATCGATTTGGTCCCGACGTTGTCCCGTTGTCCCGCCGTCCTCTGTCATCAACATCGGTTTGCAGTCCACGTGAGGTCTCGTTGTCCCGTCGTCCTCAACATTATCCTACCGTCATCGACATCGATCTTGTCCCGACATCCCGTCGTCCTCCGTCATCGACATTAGTACTGCAAATTTTTTTATTTATTTTCGGTTATTTAGAAAAACGTGAAATGAGCTTGCAAGGAGAAAAGAAAAACCATTTTGCTGAGATTATTTATTTATTCAATGGAAGCAAAGAAAAAAAAAATCGATATTTACACATACTGAAATGAGCTTTCAATTTACTTTATTTTTACTTTTTCTTCATATCCAGCTATGTCAAAGGAAAATTCAATTTTTTCTTTGACTTCTTCAACATTAGATTTAGAGTATGGAAATGGATACTAAAAATGAAAATGGCAAAAGACCAATTGATGATGTGGTTAATGAAGTCATTGATGTCGTTGTTAGCGAAGAAAAATCATTTCAAACAAATAAAGGAAAGAAAACATCTCCCATCTGAGAAGTAATTTTTTGTGAAATACTAATTAATTTTGAGAAGTAATAATTTTTTTTAAAAAAACTAACGAGCCGAGCCCGAACTTTTAAAATCCAAATGAGCCCGAGCTCAAGTTTTTGAGCTCGTCACGAGCTAAGCATGAGCCCGAGTAGAACCAAGCTCGACTCTGCTCGGTTCATTTACAGCCCGAGGCAGGAGGGGAAACACATCGTCTGTAGGAACGTAATGACATGACATGTCTACCAAAGTAAAGAACATTTTCCCAAATCACTTAAAGAATACAATATATTTCTTAAAGTGCCCTTGTCGCATGGCTACTTCAAAATTAGCAAACATATCAACTTCAGACATGATATGTTCACACCATTTTCCCAAATGTCATATTTGAAGAAGAATAAGGCACTTCATAGTTCAGCCATGTCTCCACGGGCACATCTTAAATTTTGAGGATTAGAAGAATCTAATACCCAAGACACTGAAGGCAACAGTGTTGAAGCCCATGCACAAAAAAGAGAGGGAGTGTTTCCTGGTAAAACGGTATGAATCTCAAGTATTCCCAAACCAACCTACATGGGATCGATAAATTGTCTTAACAAGCCATTCAATTGCATTAATCAATAAAAATAGAGTTATAAATCATCCAAAGGTGAAAATAATATTACAATACCAAATATAAATTATCTAAATAGAACAAAACAAAATACTTAAATAGTAGCATAGTAGCTCATTAGCATAGAAATATATATATATGTATATATATTAAATATGAATTAAAAAAATATAAATACAGTAAGTATATATATAGTTATATATATATATATAATATAATTAAGGTAACGGGTCGGTTCGGTTAACGGATTGGATTGGTTTTTCCAAGGCCCGATTCTTTAACCGAACCGCGAATAGCGGATTGCTATTTTTTTTAAACAATCACCGAACCATGAGATCTGAAAACCGAACCGAACCATACAGTTCGGATTGGTTCGGACCGAATTGATGGATTATTTGCACACAAGTGACCCAACAAGTTAGAAATAAGAAATGAAAATGGTTATTAGGCAACAAACATATAATAAAGGCACAAGACCGCTAGCACTAGTCTCAAACTGCAAGTAGGTCAAATAGGTCCAACATATAGACATACAGTCTCAGCACTTACCCAACTGAGTGTTGGAAACGGGACATACAAAACAGAAACTTTGGATGAAATTTGAAGTAGATTCCGATAAGAATTATTTGCGGATATATAGACGAGCGTGTTCCTCTCCGCAAAGAGATGAATGTGGTATATTTATTTTCTCAAATCCATTTTCTGGTGAATGAGAAATTAGCTCAAAAGTGAAGTGTTTGATAAGCCTTAATAGGTATCCAAAATGTGGGAAGTGTTTGTCCCACGTGGAAAAAATGATAAAACCAAATGGAGTTTAAATAAGCCAAGTTTGGGATTTGGGCTTGGGCTTGGTTGTGAAGTCCAGTTAATTTTTTATTAAACAGAATTTGGGCCTAATTAAATTTTTGGGTTGAACTTATTTAAATTGGTTGGGTTGAATTTAAATTAAAACCAGTTTCTGGTAATTGAATTTAAATTAAAAACCACTTTTTAGTTTTTTCCAAAGGGTTGCACCTACCCGAAAAGGCACCTTGCTTAAAAACCACATTTTAGTTTTTCTAAAGGGTTGCACCCACCCGAAAAGGTACCTTTTTGCCTATAAATACCCCCTTGGATCATTTGCAAATCACATCATTCAGAAATTAATCTTCTCCATTTCTGAATTCTCTTCCTCCTCCTCTCTTCTTGTGGGTTCGAGCCTTAGTATGTGGGTTCGAGTCTTCGTTAGTGAGTTCGAGCCAGAGAGTACTACATCGAGCCGATTCGCCTATTTCTTCGGTTTGCAGTGTTACTACCGAAGGAAGACAAGTCATTGTATCCTGGGAGATAGACGCCACTGAGTTCGTTAGCACCATAGAAGGCAAATCTGTCTTAAGGACATAGAATCAAATTCTAGCCTCGACCTATAATCAGGTTCTTTTATTTTGTATAGTTTTTTTATATTTTATTATATAAAACTATATATTATATATATATAGATTATTGTTTTTATAATAATAATAATATATATACATTATATTTTTATATAATATTTAAATAGTAATATTATAGTATATGGTATACTTAAACCATAGTTTGGACAACAATCTTAAGACAGATTCGGCTTATACTATAGTTTTAATTATTTAAATATCATTCTTATTGTTATATTGCTATAAATTGATATATTCAGACGAATATATCAATTTATATATTTAATATATTCAGACGAATGACATGTACGAGTACTACTATGACTAATGTTCCCTTCAGTCATGGGAGAAGCCTAAAAAATTTAATGGGGCGGAGTTTAAAAGGTGGCAACAGAAAATGATGTTCTACCTTACAATTTTGAATCTAAGCAAGTTCCTAACTGAGACTGCCTTAGTGCTAGAAGAGGGTGAGACTGACATTACAAAACTAGGAGCTGTTGATGCATAAAAGCATGGAGACTTCCTATGCAAAAACTACATCCTCAATGGATTGGATAACACTTTATATAATGTGTATAGTCCAATAAATACTGCTAAAGAGCTCTGAGAGTCATTAGATAAGAAGTATAAAACAGAGGATGCTGGCTTAAAGAAGTTTATGGTCGGACGATTTTTGGACTTCAAAATGGTAGATTCCAAGACTGTCATTAGCCAAGTACATGAGCTCCAGCTGATCCTACATGAGATACATGTTGAGAAGATGACTTTAAGTGAATATTTTCAAGTGGCTTCAATCATTGAAAAATTACCGCCTACTTGGAAAGCTTTTAAAAATTACTTAAAGCGTAACCGCAAAGAAATGGGGCTCGAAGACCTAATTGTCAGGCTGAGAATTGAAGAAGATAATCGTACATTTGAAAAGAAAGCCGGGAATTCTTCAATGGTGTTAAAGGCAAATGTAGTGGAAGCTGGGCAGAAAAATAAGAAGAGAAAGCACTCTGGAGAAGGTACTAGCTAAGGAAACTACAAGAGGTTCACTGGGAAGTGCTACATATACGGCAAGCTAGGATACTAAGTTAACGACTGTCGTACCTGCAAAGCATAACCTAACTCTAAGAAAAAGACCACTGAGGTGCACATTGCCGAGGAAGATAAGTTGACAGTTGATGTGTCAGAGCTAAATCTTTCAGCTGTGGTTTTTGAAATCAACCTTATGAGCAACAATAGAGAATGATGGGTGGACACAGGGACTACTCGTCATATTTGCTAAAAAGAAGAGGATGTTCAATACCTATTAAGCTACAGATAATGAAGAACAACTCTACATGGGGAACTCTTCTACTGCAAAGGTTAAAGGACAAGGAAAGGTTAAGCTGCTAATGACCTTGGGGAAAGAGCTAAATCTGAATAATGTGCTGCATGTACCAGCCATCAGGAAGAACTTGGTCTCTGGATCATTCCTAAGTAAGAATGGGTTCAAGCTGGTCTTTGTATTTGATAAGTTTGTGCTTACTAAGAATGGGGTGTATGTGGGCAAAGGGTACCTAAGTAATAGATTATTCAAATTCAATATAATAGCTGTTGTACCCAAAGCTATTAATAATAATAAAGTTAATGTTTCTGCTTATATGATTGAGTCATCTAATGTGTGGCATGATAGGTTAGGACATGTTAATTATGATACGATTCGTAGATTAATTAACATAGATTCTATACTTAAAGTTAGTATTAATTTAAATAAAAATATTAAACATGTGTAGAAGCAAAACTAACTAGAACATCATTTCACTCTATAGAGAAAAATATTGAACATTTAACATTAATTTATAGTGATATCTGTGACTTAAAATCTATGCCAACCAGAGGTGGAAAAAAGTATTTTATTACTTTTATTGATGATTGCACA